CTTGACATGAAAGACACTGCAGCCATCAAGCAGACTTGTGAAGGGCCTGATCCAAAACCTTAGTTCTAAACACCCTCAACTGTTGTGGGGCTCAGAATCCAGACTCAGGCCCGACCATAACAAATTCACCATGTCTTCAATAGGGATTGACCCAAACCCGGATCCCAGCACCCTAGAGTTCTGGGGACTTTTGGATTCTAGACCCAGGTTTGTGGGTTATCTGCATAACTAAGCACACTGCTGATAAACCACTCAGTTGGCTGAAAACCAAGGAGGGCTTCTATAGGCAAGGAACCACTAGCTTGCACTCAAGGGCTGATGGAGACAGGGCATAGTTGCAATGCAGCATCTTCCTTACATTATGCCATAAGCACTTTCCCCTCCCCTTCCAAAGCACTGTACAAACATCAGCTAATCCTCATGAGACCCTGTGAGTCAGGGCAATGCCAACAGCCCCATTTTACAGCTGGGGAAACTGAGGCAAAGTGACCCATCTAAGGCTGCATAAAGGAGTTAATGTCCTTTAGACTCAGGAGTAGGCGGAGCTCAGTCCCCTGCCCCCAGCACCCTGCCTCCTGGCTGGCTGCGCAGGCTAACGGAGCGAGACAAGGCAGAAAGATTCAGATGTACCTGGGCCATGCTGGGTTTGACTTTGCAGGCTGACTTTTCACTGGGCTTCCGTGGCCCATGTGCCCAGTCCTGGACCAACTTTGTTCCCTTTCCTTTCATCTGTCAGGATGTTGGACAGCCACATGCAACCATCTGAGACTAGAGATGGCCCTGAACAACCGCCCTGGATCCACCCCCACCCCCCAACGTTGGGGTAAAGACGACCAAAATCTGAGCCACAACTAACTTCCAAAGTTGTGCAGAGAACCCCGGCTTCAGAGGGGTGGAACCAAAGCCCCGGTCTGAACACCACTGGAGCTGGGTCGGGGCAGAGTGACCCAATGGTGGACGCAGAAGCCTTCTACTAATTGGGTCAGTTCCAGGAGAGACTGTTACTACAAGCTGGGCCTTAACCTGCACAGGCTTTACTGAAGCGTAGGGGAGTTCTACCAGAAGAATGGCCGTAGGATCAAGCCCTTCATCCCATAGAAGGGTTTTTAAAAAAGCCCGCACTAAACTCAGGGAGACTGGAACCGTTTGTACAGTGGGGGTGCTGGGAGCCATCAAGCCGAATTGTCAACCCTGAAGGCAATGGAAACCACGTCAAGACAGAGGGTGTGGCAGCCCCCCCCGTCCCGCCCGCCCCAGACCTGATGGTTAACCTTCTGAATGAGGAAGCCAGCCCGCTACCCTACCCCTCAGCCTCCTTGCCGAGCAGTCTCTTAGGTGACCTGTGGTAAAGAATGAAGATGACTCGGTGGCGGGTGAGACTCAGCTCGTCCTTTTTGGAAATAGCCTAGAATTTAAATTAAAGTTCATCAGCTGCTAGTCAGTCCCGCCCGCCCCAGACCTGATGGTTAACCTTCTGAATGAGGAAGCCAGCCCGCTACCCTACCCCTCAGCCTCCTTGCCGAGCAGTCTCTTAGGTGACCTGTGGTAAAGAATGAAGATGACTCGGTGGCGGGTGAGACTCAGCTCGTCCTTTTTGGAAATAGCCTAGAATTTAAATTAAAGTTCATCAGCTGCTAGTCAGTAACAATACATCGCAGGGCTCCTCCGCTGCCCTGTGCTCTTTC